ATATAAATCTGACGTAAGATGTCATATTTAGCAGTTTGACTTGTGTTAAATTCAAATGTCCAATTACTGTTTTAAACGTGATTGCGACTGACGAGAATGTAAGAAAGAAACATCTACAACATCTGGTTAATAAGCTTTGTTTGTCTTTTCGGTGATTATCGAAGATTGACAGTTATATTTCATTAATAGAATTATGGAGCTGACATTAGTTGGAATTCAGAAATGATGAATTACACCGTGACTGATCTCCTGAAGAACCATTGTTTCGACATTGTGGGTGTTGTGTGGGAGTGATTTATTTCGTTCGACATTTACCTAGTGAATTGACGAAATAATTGATCTCTTTTCCATGATCTGATATAACAATGAACTGTTCGAAATCTTTGATTTATATTCTTGCTCGAAAGTTTGGAACGAGATTCCAAATAGAAATAAGATATTCCAATAGAAATAAGGACTTCCCTTAGTAAATTGTTTATTTATAATTTATTATTCTTTTACAATATTGAAAGTATAATAATTGATTGTATTAGACTGATAAAATTAGATTATAAACTATACTCTAACAATATGAATTAAAACAGATTAAATGAAAGTGATAAAAGTTGAAAGTAATAAAAGTTGAATAATATATATTGTAAAAGTATAGTAATATTATACTTTCATATTTTTCTTTATTTTGTTTTATTCAGAGTCAAGTTACAATTTAGCGATCTTTATTTTAACATTGAATTTGTTTCTAATTCGAGTCATTGACAACGAAGAATTGCAAATTCCGAACTTCAAACAGTTATAATTTCACACACATACGAAAATGTAAAATATTCAAATTATAGTGTAACACTTGATATCTGAAACAATTTTCTACAAAAGTTCAATAAATTTTTTCAATAAAATTCTCAAAATTATGAACATGCAGAAAAGTCTAGTAACCAACTAATTTGTAACACATGGTAGGTCTGTGATTATATTTTCGCACGTATATATATACATATATTGGATACGAGCGAAACCTTCGTGATTTATAAACTGTATGAGAGGCAGGAAAAAGCAAATATATTCTCACGGCTCTATTCGGTACATAATGAGACTCCGTTACGATTGTACGAATGAACGAGAGAGATTCAATTGATCGGAAGTAGCATGCAGATTTGTACAATGGATTAGATGAGGCAGAGATCGGAACTTTTGCTGTCGAAACTTTTCACGAATCTAATTGAACTTTCTGAATTACTTGAAAAATTACCGCTCCACGATGTTCTTCTCATTTCTTGCAAATTATACTCCCGAGGCATAAAGTATTAACTACGTTCATAATTAAAAGTTTTTAATTAAGAGTACGAAGAAGGAGGTCTTTCAGTTCTTTCTTTATTAGTCTTTTATCTTCATTTCGAATTCTAAGTGTGAAATGAAATGGAATTTTTTTGAGAAAAATATATATCTACTGATATATATTTTAATTTTGAGAAAATATCTAAATATATCTAAATATATATCTGATAAATTACGCGTGAGATAATAAATAAAATTTTTAATATAATAGGAAGTCGAGCCTATTATTATTTTGCAGTAATTTTTACACTAGTTTTTATTATTTTATTACTTTATTATAGTGTTTTATTATTTTATTTTAGTGTTTTCATTTCTCTATTTTTAAGTATGAAACGAAATGAAATTTCCTACATTCGGATTGAAAAAGATATAATTTTTCGATATGTTTAATAAATTACGTGCGAATTGCCAGTAAGTGATTATTTTAATTCGTAATTATTTTATACCGCTTGTTACAATTCATTGTTTTACCTCATCGAGTATACATGCAGAGATTGCATAACATCCTTTCACGGATAAATTCTCACCGTCATTCGTGCATCAATCAAAAGTAGCCTGATCGAATTGTAATTTAATTTAACGTGGCTACTGGTTTCTGCGTGACGAGAATGAGAACGAACGTGTGAAGGAACTAAATTAAAAACAGTATAAACTAGAATAGATACTAGTAGAAATTTTACAATAAACAGTAGCTTTGATTAATGTTGATAAATTATAAATTATAAGTGAATTACTGAATAATTTCATTAATCATAAATAAGTATTTGTAAAATTTCAAGAAATTCGAGAATTTAGGTACTGGTAAAACAAAAAAATTGGAGCATTTTGAACACTTCCACGTAGTTTTAAATAATCAACAATTTACATAACTGTGATAGAGTATATGTGTTAATAGAAACGAAATTTCATGATAACGTTGGTATAATCTTTAGATACTGAAATCTTTAGATTTATACATTATTAAATCTTTAGATTGTATAATATCATGAATTCACGATAACAACAATTCATTGATAACATGAAAACTCAGTCAAATGACCTGGTCTTTCATCACGATCCGTGGTATGCATAGGTTTCCAACTTCTTAGCCGCGTAACTTTGTGACCTTTCTTGGCTCATCTTTTTAATGTCAGCAACTACCGGGGGTACAGAGACACAGGCAAGGATCGCTTTTATCTCTCTCGAAAAGAAAGATCGATCGTCCCAAGGAATCCATGGAACTTCAATTCTCAATAATAATTGCCCCTCCCACGACACGCGGAGTCCCGTTATCTTGCATTCTCAATGATATCACCGTACGCGCGCTATACTTTTTTAATTGGGTTACACGCGAGAAAGTGCCCGAGACAAGCCTGAAACTGCTCTGCTACGGTTTTTTTTACCGAACGACTTTACCGATACACGTGTGTCACTGGTTCGTTGGGAAACGTCTCGATTCGCTCGATCGATCGAATTCTATCGTGTTTATTCTTAACTGTGCGTTTAATAGTCGTACATTTAAAGATCGATATGATTCTCACGTTACAATCAATTTTGTAAGCTGTAATTATTTCAATTTCTTTTTTTTTTTCGTGTTTGATTTTGTCTATAATAATTATTTCGTGTCGCGTAATGTCTATAATAATTATTTCAATTTCTCTTCCTCGTGTTTCATTTTAAACTAATCAATTATATCACCTGTAATTGTGCATTTGAATTTTGAGCTAAATTCTAAGCTAATGATTGTATCATGAGTAGATACAATATATTCATAACCATAAGTGACTAAATACTCCACAAATAAATTATTTATTAATATTATTATTATTATTATTAAAATATTTCGATTTTATGTTTAATTTGATAAATTAAAATATTTCACGTCAAATTGATAAATGAAAATAAATTTGACATAAAATATTTTTATTTATCAAATTAAACATAAAATCGAAATATTTTAATAACAATAATAATATTAATAAATAAATCCATTTAACTAGGGGTTAAGATCACAGTTAAGTAAGATCAATAGTTGCTCACGAACCTCTTATAAGTTACATTACTTTAAAATTTCACTAACCTGAGACCGAGATCTGACTATATTAATTATGTTAATCAAATTACACGAAAAATTCAATTACAAATTTCGCGTAGAAATCGACGTGTTAAAGTGATCAGTTCATCCTCGTTCCAATGATAATTTCGAAAAATTATTATAATCTATTACAATGCCAAAATCGTGTCGTAAGAGAATAGGTAGAAAATGAAATCATGCTGAATCTTTTTTCGAATGCCTCCGCTCAGTTCACTTCACCTAATAATAATTTAGCGTTTAAGATCATTTAGAAGAAGCACCTACCGTTTCTTAATGATCGTCAGTCTTTTTTCCTTTTTTCTCTACCACGTTTCGTGCCACGTAATTCGTGATTCTGTTAGAAGAATCTCCGTGTTCGTTTCGACATCGTCGTAGTAGTGGCAACTAATTCATATTTACGGACCATGGGTTGCGTTAACCAGGAACACTAAATTTCCATTGCCTCTGAAGCACGCTCTTGTTACCGCAAGAGACCTGTTGCTTCCAAGAAAAAGAATCTTTAAGGTGGCGAAATGTTGGTGACGCAGCGACTGCATCATTAACCCGTTGCCGAGTGACTGCAATTTCAAAAATAACGTCGGTATTGTACAATATTTCTACAAAAACTCGACGAGCACTTAAGTGTTTTTGGTCCAGTTTTCTTATTTAATTTCAACGCAAATGGAATAGAAAGAAAACTAAATAGATCAATGGATTCTTCTTTCCTCTTTGTTTCTCTCTCTTTGGTTTTTTTAAATTTTTTTTTTTTTTTTAATTTAGACGATACTTTCATCATTTGTGAAAGGTAAGAGTTTGGTTTGTTTAGTTTCGTAATTTAATTTTTGCGTAAATAAAATAAAAAGAAAAATATAATATTAATTCTTCTTTTTGTTCCTTTTACTCTATTTTTCTTAACTTTTTTCTTCTTCTGATTTACGTATAAGATACTATCATATAAAATATTATTAATAGTATACAAGCTTCTATTTATGTGTTTTTCTAAATCGTTCAAGTCTCACTGAGATCAAGAACACACTGTTATAAATGTATAAAGTTTCTATGGAAGAAGAATGATAAATTAGAAATTTAATCCGTTCGTGATTCCACACTGATAACAAAAATAATAAAATTTGTTAATATTACTACACTGATATTATTTTAAAATAAATTGTGGTACTAACAAACTTTTCAAAATTCGAAAAAAAATTCTACTCCAAACACTGGTGGTCCCAAAATATTCTAAAAATGCTTTACATAATTTTCAGTTTTCACGAAAATATTGACCGGAATAGCAAAAGGTAATTTCTTCTCTCACGACTCGTTAAACATAGTTATTAGTTCATAGTTAATGAGTTCATAGTCCGGAAATCAGTGGAATCGTTACGACTAGAGAGTCAAACGATTAACGCTATTAATGGCGAAAGTATGCACACGATGGTGCTAATGAATCCTCTGCACTCGCTAACGTTTCGGAAATTCGCTCATTTTTTACTTCCCCTTTGTCAACTTTCGTTTTCGTCTCGTGACATAGTCTCGAGTAGGCTCAAGGTTCTTTCAAGAATTCAAATTTAGCCGCACATTTTGATTCGTGCAAGCGTCGTCCTTGTAGCTTTATAATGAAGTTGTAACTTCACTTGATACATATGTCTTCGCGATTTGATCTTGACACGCTTCATTACTTTTACAAACTGAAACATGCTCGCTTTTGCAAAAACGAACAGAACATGCTACTTTTTGTGAAAT